GTTTTGAGTTATGCCAACGAGCCTTTCCACAGACAGTTCCTAGGCACAGTTAAGCATGGACCGAAGACCATTCCCAATAAGCAGTTTGTATGCGGTCACCTTTTTTGGGAGGCTGAGAATTTAATAACATGGACATAGGCCACTCTGTGCCTGTTGGTCTCCGTGCCAAAGGAACGTTTCCTGTCCCATTTAATTTCCTAGCACAGACATAGCTGCTGTGTTACAGTCTGATCCCTGCTTTGTTCCTGTAGCTGTGCAACTGGGCATTGGTCTGTACTTAAAGTCTGTGGCAAACCGAAATGTAGTCTTTTGTGTCTATGTTACCCAACTCCATCCCTAAACCTCTGTTTGTCTTTCTCCTTTTTGAACTGTATGCTATTCAGACAGCAACTATATTTGGAAAGAGCTGTGTATTGTGCAGATCCATTTAAATTAAGCAGTTATCCAAAGGTGAAAATCTGCTCTGTAAAGTAAATGGAAATTAAATGAGACTAACACAATGCCTAGATCTTGTGTTTGTATTGCTAGTGAGCAGATACTTACCACTAATTTGATTTTTCATCAGAAACAGGTACCATGAAGTGCAGGATTAAAACTCCTGGGGCTGGATGGTCCCAGACGGCAACATCTGTCAGGTATAATAAGGCAGAAAGCTTTATTTGAAAATAAAGTTATCTTTCTTCTTCTGACTCTAAACACAGCTATGCCCTTGCTTCTCACTGAGCACATTTCCTTCTTTAGGGGTCAGACACAGCCTCAGTGGACTTTTGCAGATGTTATGTTATTTTCCATTCTAGTGGCTCTTAGATACACATTTCATTTATTTTCTTGCTGAAATGCTGCCTAAATCTATTGATATTTGAATTGTTAGAAGCAATGATCTCCAGCTACTGGTATTGTTCTCATCTGATGTCATCCCATCTTATCTGAGTAGTGGAAACATAAAACGTGCACTGGAAAAGGAGCATAGTTACTCGCTTAGGTACGTACTCCTTCCAGAGTATGAATTATTCTCAGTCTTCTGGGATGTAGCTTAATCTATGGAATACAGATGTCATAGGGTATCCTCAGGACAGGCAGAGTAGGCTGAGAAGCTAAGAGGGGAAAAGTACCTAATTGGGTCCAGGAACATTTAGAGGCAGTTGGAAGAAGAGAGGACAGGGTTTGAAATTCCAGGGAGTTTGGGGGTGCAAGGGAGCAGACAGGGAGCATGAGGGAAGGCAGAGCACATGGGAGTAAGCGAGACAGCTGGCAGTGTCCACCTGGGCATTTGCACATGAACAGCATGGGGTTAGGCATGTCCGGTGACTTCGTCAGGGGCCATTGGCATGTGGCAGAAAGGTGGAGGCAGGGGAGAGGAGCCAGGAGGTCGAGGCACAGCTGGGAGGAACCTGGCTGGTGTACAAGAGGAGCTAAAAAGGCCAGGCAGGGTGAGGGAAAGTGAGGAGGAGGCAAAGGAGGGAAGTTAAATAGATGGAAGGACTAAAATGCAACATGGTCACTAAGGCCTAAAACCTCCGAAGTATTTAGGAGTCTTGTGCTGAATTTAGGATCTCTGTCAGCATGTGAGCGTGAACCCCTTTTCCTACAGTCATTACCATGTGCCACGTTATGTGCGTGTCAGATTTTCAGGACAGGCAGAATTTAAGCAAAATGAACCAATGCAAGTGCTTGCTTTTTTTTCTTCCTAAAAGTGGGACTTTATCAAGCAGCTCTTTATCAAGTGCTGTATCTCTCAGGGAGAGCCTGTCTCACTGGTGGTGTGGCTTACCTAAGCAAAGCATTTTTTCATTCTAAGTCAGAACTGTGCTAAAGAGGAAGCGATGATCTAGTTGTTCAGCCTCACCATATCCTGTGTTCAGAATAATTTTCATTTCTACTTATCTGCAAATGTTAATGGAATGTCCACAAATATTTTCTTGGTTTCTATGGTAAGAGAAAGAGAGTGTGAAACTGTGTCAAAACCACTGCATCATCTGCATCATCCTGTGCTTTTCAGGAGAAGAACCTGACCACGGGAGGAGTCATCTGTGGCGTTACTTGTGTGCAAACTGACATTTAGTACATTCTGATCCCTCTCAGGTTCACATTTTGAAACACAGACTTGCACATTACAAACCATAAAGGTTACTTCGTCACTTTTATAATTACACAGTAATGACGGAGTATATCAAAACAGTTCAACACAGTTACTTCCTCTCTGACTATAAAGCAATCAGACATTTGCTGGAATTTAACTGTAAGACTTTGGAAATAACTTTTTTTAAGGGTTTAAGTTTCTAAATTACTCAGAAGTAAATTCTCCCAGTCCCTTGTGTACGCATGCATGGAGCGTAGCACGGTGCGAATGCTTGGGGAAGTGTGCCAGTAAGTGGTCACGTGGGAGCAGCAGCTAACGTGCTGCACACTTCCGCAGCCTTCTGAAAACACCACTGTTCCCCCTGAGCGAGCACCCGGGGACGGGCCACAAGCTGCGATGCTCCTCTCAGGGAAGAAGCAGCTGTCTTGTGCCGGATTTCCCTGGAAAAGGGACTTCAGTTTGGGGCATACGTTGTCAGAAGTATTCGAACTGTCTGGCAACTATACATCCCCTAATCCTTTGCCTGTGAGAGTGCAGAGCCTTACTGTGGCAGGACTGGTGAGACTGGGGAAAATAAAGCACACTTTCGCTCTGTGTGACAAGAGCCGTGTGGATCTCAAACCAGGAATCGTGAGGTTTTGGTGGTATTCCCACAGATCAGAGATCACGCAGCTCTTGCTCCTGACGCTGCACCCAGCCACTGACAAACAATAGTGAGTTGAAATTGTTATATCTAATTTTTCAAAGCAACGTTTCTTTAATAAGCTTTTCCACAAATGTCCTGAGAGAATGAAAGTGCAGATCGGTTTGAGAAGTATATCTGCATCTGGAAAAATAAGTCTGTGTTTTAGGAGGAATTCTATCTGGTTCAGACAGGGCAGCTCCAGTAAAAATCCCTGCCCTCCACTTACATTTGTCTTCTTTCCCTGGAGTGAATCTCTGAAGAAACTTTTCTGGTTTTTAAAGGGAGAAATAATTTGGAAAAGCATCACTGGTATGGTACCAAATCAGGAACAAGACAAATGGAGTTAAATAATGTCAAACTTCCACACACGAGTCTATTTCTGTGGACAGGTATCTGGAAGTCGAGCCTGCCAGTGCAGTACTTTGCACTGGGTTATTGAACTGTTTCAAAGACAAATTTTATGAATAGAGATCAAAGTGTTTAAGAGGACTGTGAGCAAATATGACCACTTGTGCAAATATCCGTGAAGCTCCCTGCAATAGCCATTCAGTAGTTCCAAAGGCTGTCGGGGCATGTAATGATTGTAATAAATGTTGTATTTGCTTTTGTTTCAGCTGGATTTGACCAGCAAATTCAGCTGATTGCTTCCATTGTTATTTTTGCTTAGAAGACAATTATATTGTTATCATTAAAAAACCCACTCTTCTTACACAGTTCTTTGTACTGATCTTGAAATTCAGAACTGGCTATCCTAGTTGACATAATTTTAAAATTTATTTTCATTCTTATCTTTGCACTTGTTTCTTTTCAGTGTTTTTGCTTTGTTTTATGCTCCTCCTGAATGCTGCGTCTGCCACCTTTGTGTTTGTTGGAGAAAGAAACCAATAATTGTTTAAATCCTCCCTGCCCCCAGATTAATAGTCAGAGGTTTAGATTATAGCACGCACTAAGAAAATATTGATTTTTAGCTGATAATCATGTGTTGTTATGGATGGATTGTAACTGCATTCAGGAGTGCTATACTGCCATGGCTCTATTCTAGCAGCATAATAGCTCATGCAGGATTCTGAAGAAGCTCCTTGTGTTCTTCTGTAAATATATTGAAGATACAACCAGCCTCTTCTGTATTTGGTCTACTTGTGGGAAGCAAAAGGATAAATATAAACTGGCCCATCTCTGTTATGGGTCCAATGTGCAGGACTCATCAAAGTACATCAATGGAGCAGTGCCAGCAAAATTCCCGCTCGGTCTCTACAACATGTTGTGACATGACCATCGGTACAAGAACAGCCTCAAAGCAAACGCTTATGTCCCTGGGAAAGAGTGTATAATTTGGAAATAAATTGTGAGATAAATTAGTGCTGGTCCAACCAGCAGCACATGGGCAGAGACAGTCACACAACTATAAAGGTCAGGAATCTGCCAAGGATCCCTGTGCTGTTGAAAACTGACAGTTTAAGGTACCTCTGTGTGCAAGGAAACCACAGGGGACAGCACTGAATGCCTTTGGTAAGGGACAGCTTTGGTGAGGGTTTGGCTTAATCTGTATCCAACTGATGAAAAAATTAGTTATAATTTCTTTGGTTCAGCATGAAAAGCAAACTTTTGAGACAGGTCAGGCATGTTTACTCAAGTTGTCCGTACACTTGAGCTAACCATATTTCTTTTACAAAAAATAATACGTAAACTATGAAGGACTGAGGACAGACAGGGGCTACAGGTTCTGGTTTGTCCTGGGGGTAAACCTACAGTATTCCCTAGCTTGTTTATTTCCCGTTTGACTCTGGTGACTGCGTCTAAAAGGTCTGTAAAAGTTATTTAAGAAAAGCAGACCTTGTTCAATAGACTAACATTTGCTCTATGGAGAGTCCAAATCTCCACCAGCAAGTGCTTGTGGTCTTTAAATTGCAAAAGCTTCAAAGAGTTCTGGTAGTGTGGTGTGATGCTGTGATATCACGCCAACACTGTACTCTGATGTTGTATTTTTGTTGTACCCTGAACCACACTGTTCTTGTCAAGAAGTGCCCTCACTTCCGGACTCATCATCACTGCATCTCTCCATATCGAGGTCTTCCGTATAGCACCCTTTTCTATGCACTGGCCAAACCAGTTTGCCGTAATCTGTGAGATTTTACAATTTGGATTAAACTAAATGGGAGCTGTATACACAACACCTATGAAGTTGTAATTCTACAGCTAAGCATGCTCTCTCTTATGTTCCATTTTGTTTTACAGGTTGTTACTTTGTGGTATAGAGCTCCTGAAGTTTTGCTTCAGTCCAGCTATGCAACACCAGTTGATCTTTGGAGTGTTGGCTGCATATTTGCAGAAATGTTCCGTCGAAAGTAAGAAATACAGTTTTATTTTCTTCACATTCTTTATTTGAAATTTGAAAAAATTTGCAGTAATGTCTGGTACAATACACTGGATCACATTTATATTGGAAAGGCTTGATAAGATGTTTTATTTGCAGTGCATTGTGAATTCATACTTGTTGCCATTTTGTTGTCTTTCTTTTTTGTTGGAGTCTGCCTCAGCTCTTGGTAAAGCCTGTATGAGCATTGTTGTATTCCTGTTACACCTGAATCCAAATGCAGATAAAAGTGGGCTAGAGAGGCTGTTGATTCATTTGTTTAAACCTACATTCTGGAAAGGATTTACCCTGAGGGAGGCAGGGCGTGGTGGTCAGCAGAGTCTTCTTGCTCTGGAGTTTGTGCATTGGAGCATCGGATGTTTGCTCGTAGCCCCTCTTGGCATATTTGAGATCTCAGACGTCACTGTAAAGTTGATTTCTGGAGGTAGGAAACAGAGGTAGGATTTTTTTAAGAATAAGCTATTTAGCCTGAGTGAAGAGTAATAGAGATAGTTAAATGTAGGTAAAAAAAAAAAAATAACACACCAGATAAAAGACTTTTTTTTCACTAATTCGATTACATTGGCTATCAGAACTGTCTTGCTACAAAATATTACAGCTGGATGCAGATAAGTTGTGAATGCAAGAGAAACACTTCTGTACCGGTCTTTCCCCGTGGAAGGACACCAATATGGAGGTTGTACCATGTAGGATGTGGAGAGAAACAAACCCCCAAGAACCTTAACAAGCTAAATCTGTCTCGATATTAACTCAATCACATGCATTTTGGTTGAGCTTACTACAAAAAGTGCATGTTGTCATCATCCGAGTGATCTCTGTGTAGAAACTTACGCATTTTGTAACACCTACTGTGAAATCAAAGAATATACATAAGGAAAATGTGAAAGAAAATTATACACTGAGTAGCTGAAAAACTAAAATCAATATAATTTACAAGGAGAAGCCATACTGCAAGGGCCTTGAGAAACAACTATTTAGTTTGTACAATGTGAAGTTCAAAATACTAATTGAAGTCTTGCAAAATAACTTTGGGATTCTACTACTTATTAGTGTTAGTGTATGGAAAAATCATTTTCCTTGGGCTTCTTGCCTGGTCAAATGGCCTGGGTAGAATTATTATACTCCACCCTCTCTCCCTCTGACTCAGAAATGAGGTCAGAAAATGAGAAAAAAAAAATAATGTGGATTTTATGAGTATCAATTAAATCGTCCATTGCAAACTTTTAAAGATTTACACTCACCCCATATACTGCCAGGTTCACAATAGCATTAAGCCATTGATATTTTTTTGTGATTTAAATAGCAGAGTCAACAACTTCATTGTAGCATTTGCAGTAAGAGTGATACAGGACAAACAGCTAAACACAGAACTTTATTATATCCTCAAAACTCTCATTTTTTTCTCATTTAATTTGCAATATTCTGACAGATGAGAAATATTGCCCTTTACAAGCACAACCAATTTAATTTTATTTTTCCTTTTATGATGTATGAGCCTCACTGACTTTCCAAATCCAACACAGTAAATTGAATTAGGGACAGTTAAATTTTCTACAAGTTTACAAATGCAAATATTGCATTAATATTACAAAATCAGAGGTATTTTTTTTTAATGGAAATGAGATCTGACTTGAAGCAGAGTTTAATAAGGCCAGGACTTCTATTATCCTTGCCAAATGCAGGGTCAGTCTGACATTCTCAGTCTTAAATTTGGGAGACTGTCAAAAACTGTAGAGGTCAAGAATCTGCCAAGTCTGTATGTACTATGCTGTTTCATTGAAAACAATATGACTTTCACATACTTGAGTACACAAGCATGATTTGGAAGACTAGTCTAAAGCCTCATTGCCATAAAGCTACAATGAACAGCACTAAATGCTGTCTCCATGGACTGTTGTATTGGGTTAATGTTGCAATATCCTACTCTCTATAGGATATATGTCGTCTTTCTGATTCTCCTGATGGATTGCAAAAGAAAACCCATGTGACTGTGACCTTGGTAGCAATAAACTGTAAAATTTTGCAAACTCTATGGATTATTTCCAAAAGATTGAATAAATGCAACAGCTATTTCTGCAGGAAAATGGTAATGCCCTTGGGTAATCATCCATCTGCATTTTCACCAATATTGATAGGATAAGAGTATGAGAATGTCCTCCTGCAATCTGAGGTTTGTATAAAGTCATAGCTATATTTAAAATATGCACTTTTTAATTATGACGCAGATTTGTAGGCTTCTGCATATGTGAATGCGCAAAGGTTGTATCCTGAAACGCCTCATGCGGATTCCCGAGGATCCCACTCTACTTACAGATCAGCAATAAATTACTCAGTAGTCAGGTGTATGTGTTACCTGTGCAGAAACTATTCTGCTTTGTGCATCTTTTTCTGTCAATCTGCACTGCTGATGAAAGCAGCACCAAATAAAGCATTCCTTTAAAATTTCCTTAAATGGTAGTTTAATTTAAGTTTTTAAATTTCCTGTCTAGTTAAGTAGGTTGCAGTGACTTCTAGACACATTTGGATTGTCTGTCCTTATCTAATGAAAGTGTAAACATATTTGCCACAGTGACTGTTTTATTCGTGATTTAAAAGCTATGGTGCATTGATAATAATAACCAGTAAGGTAAATTGTAAGGTATGCTATGGCTTTCTACTATATCACAGAATCCTTCAGAGATACAGCTGGCAGGACTGACAGGGGCCTGATGGCATAGGGGCATCCTTTGGCGCAGCAAGAAATTAGCGGTTTTTTAAGTTTAGGTAAAAATAAGGATTACTTACAAAAAGAGTTTCACTTTGAGGCTAAGCATTTTCCTGGCCAGTAGGAAAGGCCCTTATGCCTCCTACTCTGTGAACAACTTATTAAAGAGAAAGGAAAACATGGGAGTAGCATCCACTTCTGTCTAGATACATGGAACTCCTCCAGCTGGCTCAAGGGTTGAGGGCGGCTCCAAAGCAGGAAACTATGACCAGTGTTTTAGGGGAAGAAAGGAATATTTCTCTTGCTTGGGTTAGATAATACTTAATCAAGGTGAATAAGTGTGAGAGGGTAAGATGACTGGAATCTGAATCTGCCCGAAATGATCTATAAAAGAAAGCAGGAATCATTGGTCTTGGACTCTCTTCTGAGTAAGCCGTCTTGAGAAAAAATGCAGAAATGTTTCAATGCTTAGTTCTTAGTGCATCTATACATGCTCAATTTTCAAAACCATAATCCTGTATGATTTCAATCCTGCACCGACTAGGGTGTTAGTAGATGTGTATGTGGAACTATATCATAATTACCACTAGGCAAGTTTAAATAAAATATTGCACAGGCAACTGAGTTTATCTTTCTTTGTAGTAAATATAGAGCTAAAAATCATCAGAGGAGATCATCAGGTTTTGTAGCCTATGTTGTATTCATAGACTAATTAAGCTGAAGAAGTCATACGTTTGAGAGTGGCCAACGTCATGGCTGCATGTGAAATCTTCACAAACATTACAGGTACCAATTCAAACCCAAAACTTGAAAGACAGTCATCTCCCAAGAAACTTTTCCACTTCCCTAAACCAAAAGTAAACCAGTATTATCTCAGTGCCCCAAGCTTCGTGCAGCTGAGAGGGAAATTAATTCCATGCACATGGGCTTCTTACTGAGACTGTTCATGCACCAGCTCCATGGTGTTTTAATCAGCATGCTGTTGGTAAGATTGTCAGTCCCAGAATTTCGTAAGCCGCAAGATTGGCACAAACAGCACGAGGTTATTATTTATTCATTTTTAAACATTAAATCGTGTTTTTAGTGGTTGTCTCATTTATCAGCTTACTCTGCCAGCTCCTAATGTATGTGAGACAGTTTTTGCATTACGAGCCATGCTTGAAAATTGTAGCAGCAGATAAGAGATGTATGACTCTACCAAAATACCTATGATGGGACAAGTTCCCTGGTGGGCACAAACAATAGACATAAGGAAACAAGCTATAAGTATATAAGTCATCTTTCAAGGGTATAAATTTGTTCAGTTAGAGGACATACATCATTGTGTGTAGAAAAGCCATGAGCCCAGGACTTTGTTGCTCTAGTAATGTGATAAAATCAAAGCTTAGAGCCTCGTCTGGTAATCAGGCTGTGATGTGGGCACTGGATTTGGCACCTACAGGCAACCTTTAATTGTAAAACATTTAACAGGTTTAAAAAAACTAGCAATACACCCATATTCATTCTTAAATACAAGATCTTACAGTATAGAGTAATTGTAAAGCATCTTTCACACTGAAATATAGTAAATCTTTATTCCTCTTTCCAAACAAGCCATCAATTATTAGTAGAGTTTGAAATGCAGCCATCAGGTCCATTGCATGTACTTTTTCTGTATCGACTCCAGAAATAGGTGGTGGATAAGTCTGTGGAAAGAGATTGGGCACCCACCTGCCCCTGGATTCCACCTCTACTTGTGAATGAGGGAAGAGCAGTCAGCTCTGCAGCTTAAGTTTCATTTAATGCTTTGTGGAATAAACATGGTCAAGTGGTTGCAGAAGAAAATAGCCAAGGGTAACAGGGACACCTGTTTTTAAGCTGTCTCCGAAAACTGAAGCTGGATAGGAAAGTTTGAACTTCTATCACTGAGTGAAAATAATAACTCTTTTTAGCTGGATCATGTGGTAAAGTCTTGGCTTCGCTGAAATCATTGTTGAAATTAACCCTGACTTCCAAGGGGGTTGTAGCCTTTCTAGAAACAATTCAGTGTGACAGAGTGGCACAGAGAGTGGTGGAGCTAATATCTGTGATGTGCATAGTACAGCACATAGAGTGATCTCTGTGACAGACACTCTTGCAAACTGGCAAGGAGGAGAAGGTATTGCATAGTGTTGTCCCAGCTTCCATTCCTTGCACTTCTTTCAGTGATCCTGTACAAGCTTTCAGTCATCCTGTCTGTGAAATAAACATCAACAGGTAACTCCCGGGGACTGCGAGACTTTCATTCA